GTGCCTGTTGCATAGCATGTTTGTGAATTTGGGGGCGGAGCTATCAAGACAGAGGTGTGATTATTTTGGGTAGGAGTGTGTTTTTGGTCATCGACAGCAATTCAAAGAAATCACTTACTGCACCTTTGAAGTGTATGTGAACCTAAAGTTGAGATCGACTTTACTCTTTCCATGAAATTGAATATTGAATGAGACTGATTTCGAGGGGGAATTTATTTGACAGGATTTGAGGCAGTATAGTAGTGAGAGGAGGGGGGTGAGATCTGGACATGAGCCAGCAGCTGTTGCAAATCCTGAGCATGTGCACAGTCCATTGCGCCACAGCTCTGACTGAATGGCATTGTGACTTCCAGAACGCTACGCTTGAGTTCTGTTAGTCACATGTTTATATTTCCTGGAGAGGCTTCCCAGACTCCTTTGGCATTATCCAGTACATTAAACAGAAGATGATGCAATAGTGTAACTTCTGACCCAGTTGTCTTGGTCAGTTGCAAAATGCATGAGTGAATGAGTGTTCCTCCTTAAAAGAAGGATTAGACCTTGTGTTCCAGTCTTAACCTGGCTGTAAAACTCACCCTCCCATTATTCATTGCAGCACGTGTGCATGGACTGCCAAAAAAGCTACTGCAGCCGCTGCTCCACTCAGCAGGACCTCCAGCCATGGCTGTGCCACACATGCCAGCGTTTCCGTGGCATCCTGTTCGAGCGCGCCGAGCTGATGAAGCTCAAGGTGAAGGATCTGAGGGACTACCTCCACCTGCACGGGGTCTCCACGCAGATGTGCCGTGAGAAAGAGGAGCTGGTCGAGCTGGTTCTTGGCCAGCATACGCCTACATCTGACACGCACATTCCTCCACCCCCAGTGACCACACATGAATCCCTTAACACTCCAGTCATAACCGTGAGCCCGTTGGCGGACAATGGCACAGCAGAACTGGGACCTCAGACTCAAGCAACGGAAGATGGACAGGTAAAAAATGTTCTTTCTTTTTTTCTTTTTTTTTTTGAAAGAAGCTACATCTATTTGATGAATGAATACAGTAAAAAAAA